ATTGTGCAACCGAATGACACCAGCCGATATCTCCGTCCCAGACACAGCCCTGGGAAGCTAGGCTCGCTGGACGCTGCAAGCTGTAGCAAAGTCCCGAGTCTGTGTCAGTGGGTCCTGCGCTTCTGGGCAGATTCAGTGGCCTCAGAAACTCGATAAGGCCCCAACGTGACCTCCCTTTCGCAGTGTAGCGGCAAGAGTCACAGCCTATGGAGTTACTTCCATCACCGGGCAGTACGGGAGATGGGACGGGGGAATACCCCACAGTCTCGGGTACTCCACAGAGCTCAGTGGGCACAGTTCGGCCTCCTGCCTGGACCCAGTCCTGCTTCCCCTCTCAAGGGGATCTCTGTAGAGTATGGGGGGGCGGCAGGGGGTTGGTCTGTGCTCACATTGCTAAGCAATTGGTTGGTATATTATTCTCTAGCCTCCCCAGGAAAGGGTGTGAAGGGGCTTTGGGGAATATTTTCCAGTCTAGAGAACAGGGTTGCGTTATTCCCTTTGGGGGGGTGGAGGCCCCGGGGGTCCAGAGCGAGTGGACTCCCTGAGGGGGCCCACGGCAGAGACAGATGTGCTATGGCTCAGAGAGGTGCGGCTCCAGGACGTGGAGGGGCCTGACTCCGAGAGAGAGTGGACCCCCGAGAAGGGCTGTCGCACTGAAGGGGCACCACCCCCATGGACCGCACGGGGCCAAGAGTGGGCACGATCTGTGAGTCCGTGACACAGGACAAAGGGGGGCCAGTCATGAGAAATCCCCTAGCTACCACCTGAGCTGGAACAAGGGCTGTACCAGGTGAAAGGATTGGGCCCAGACTAGAAAGGAGTCTAGTCTGTGAAAGAGGCTTATTGGAACATCTCTGAGGGTGAGATTTACCTGTATTCAGTTTCTTAATGTATCAGGCTTAGACTTGCGTGTTTTGCTTTATTTTGCTTGGTGACTTACTTTGTTCTGTCTGTTATTACTTGAAACCAATTGAATCATACTTTTTATACTTAATAAAATCACTTTTGTTCATTAATAAACCCAGAGTAAGTGATTAATACCTGGGGGAGCAAACAGCTGTGCAGATCTCTCTATCAGTGATATAGAGTGGGGACAATTTATGAGTTTACCCTGTATAAGCTTTATACAGAGTAAAACGGATTGATTTGGGGTTTGGATCCCATTGGGAACTGGGTGTCTGGGTGCTGGAGACAGGTGACCTACTGAGCAGTTTGGGGTTAAAGTCTGCAGCTTTGGGGGTGTGGACCAGACCTGGGTCTGTGTTGCAGCAGGCTGGCGTCTGGCTCCACAAGGCGGGGTTCTGGAGTCCCAAGCTGCAGCTTTGGGGGCTGGACCAGACCTGGTCTGTGTTGCAGCAGGCTGGCGTCGAGCTCCACAAGGCAGGGTTCTGGAGTCCCAAACTGGCAGGGAAAACGGACTCAGAGGTAACGTCAGCACGTCAGGTGACAGTCCCAAGGGGGTCTCTGTGACCAAACCTGTGACAGGGAGACCCCACGGAGACTCCCACGTTCTCCCTGGCCTGCTCTGTCCACACCCCCGTCTGTCAAGCCCCCTCCCAGCCAGGTATGGGGCAGCAGCTCCCCCATCCCACTGGGCACAGGGGGGCCATCATTCTCTGAGGTCTCCTGCAGATGCCACTGCCCAGGGCAGGGTGCAAAGAGGGGGGTGCAGCCCCTGCCCAGTGCGCCCTGGGCTTGGTGGAGAGGGAGAGGTGCATTCAGAGAGCTCCCCGGGGAGCAGACGGGGTGTCCCCTGAGGCCCGGTGCAGTGAGCCTGGCCCCATCTCCATGGGGCATGCGGCATTTCCTCCCTCTTGCGCTGCGGGGCTAAGCACACGCTGGCTGCCCGGGCACCACCGCCGAGGTATGTGTTGGCTACGGGGTGACGGTACATCTCGGTTTGGCCAGGACAGTCCCTTCTGCAAGCCCTGTCCCGGCCATCCTGGCTTTTGGCAGAAGAAGGCA